TTTGATTTCACACCTGGACATTGTTGGAGTTTTTTTATAAAACAATTGAAATGTAACAAACTAAAATTATACAATTCTCCAATATAAGGCAATGAATTAAACAGATGTGAGTCACATGTGTTAGAGACATCTAGAAACAAAAAACAGCAAGCAAAATAAATTATTATCAGTAAAACCAAAGTGGGTTATGTTTTAAAAACAAGCAACATATACCAGTCCCAATATAAGCGTGTTTCACCACACATCAACCAGTGGAGATGAGGAAATACAAACCAACATACCTAGATGAATTTGTTTCAAAATATCCCGTGTAAATGCTATAGCAGAAGAAAGTAAGATACAATACATTTACAGCAAGAAAACAAGTTAAACTGAGAAAAAAAATGTTACCTTAAAGCTAAGAAAAAAGACTTCAGATATGAGAAACAGATAATTTTTTTTCCTGGATTAATGATAAAATGTCACAAATATTTAAAACGAAAATAGAATCCTCAATTATATCCTCATAACTGTCTTCATTGTCAAAATAAGTATAGATATTCATTAGCTGGTGCACCAATGTCACCTATGGGAATTCAATAAATGATATCGGACCAAACACAGATGCTGTCACCTATGGGAATTTAAATTAAGTTAATTATTTAATGATAGCGACTGCTAATTTAATGATAGCAGACCAAACACTTATACTGGTATCTATGGGAATTAAATTATTAATATGGGATCAAACATTAACACTGTTACCTATAGAAATTCAATTGATGATATGGGACCATACTGTTGCTTATGGGAATTCAATTAATGATAGCGGATCAAACACTTATACTGGCATCTATGGGAATTCAATTAATAATATGGGGCCAACAATTAACATTGTCACCTCTGGAAATTCAATTAATGATAGTGAATCCAAACACTTATACTAGCATCTATGGGAATTCAATTAATAATATGGGGCCAACAATTAACATTGTCACCTATAGAAATTCAATTAATGATAGTGAATCCAAACACTTATACTAGCATAGCATCTATGGGAATTCAATTAATAATATGGGCCAAACATTAACACTGTTGTCTATTGAAATTCAATTGATGATATGGGACCAAACATGAATACTGTTGCCTATGGGAATTCAATTGATATGGATCTGAATACCAATACTGTCGCCTATGGGAATTCAATTAACATGGAACAAATAATCTTGCTGACTGAAACATGTTTCAATTTATAATTTAGTTTAAGGTTTATCAATACAGTCTGATGAACGTAGGTAAATGGTTTAAAGTGGATGGACAGAATTCAAAAAAAATTCATGGGAATGAATGCATTATGAGACTGAATGTTAGGCCAGGAAGAAAAACAAAATAAGAGGATATTTGATAGTAAAAATAGAATACCTAATAAGAAACAATAGGATATGACATGGAAATTACAGGATATGACGTGAGAAGACACAGTGGAATTCACCTGGGTGGTATCAAATTAATAATGACCTGGCAGAGATTCATTATTGTTGTAGATTGGTTGCACTCTAAATACTGTTAAACCATTTATTTTCACTGGCATTTAATTTCACTATTTTGTCATATTGAGTGATATCATTGGGTTGTAAGTTCATAATCTTGGCCGGAAAAGAATGAGTTGTATTGTAATTTCACATGTTCATGTGAATTTAATTTAACGGATTTTACTTATCAGCGAAAATAGCGAAATTAAAAAAATAGTGAAAAATTAATGTGTTTACAGTATGCTTGCATCAATTTATCATGAAAAAGTGGGTAAAACAGAGAAATCTCTAGAATATAATTATGAATTTAAATCACTGAATTTAGAGAAATACATAAATTGTTGTTTTCATCAAAAATGCATTTTAGCCAGAATATTCAAATTACAAACTTGAATAATCATATCTTTTTTTTATACATAAAAATTACCAAATTTCCAGTATTCTTCAAAGCAAAACCATTCACATGCTACTGGCACTCTGGTAAAGGAAAGTTTCTTTTTCTTAATTTGCCTCTAAAGAACAAATAATATACACACCCCTTAACTTTTCTCCATGAAACAACACACTGTCTGTTGTGAACTTCAAGCATGAGACCTCGCCGTGTTACAGCTACATTCACTGCTGTTCCAGCTGGTATCTGAAAATTGAGTGAGAACACATTAAATTGTTCTTTTTCTTTTCTCTCATATATATCATAAGCTCTTTTGGTAATGTAGTAAATTGAAATTTGTATCAAAATTGACTAAAAATCCAGAGATGAACTTGTAAAATTTACATTAATATTTATATAGAAAATTATTACTATTTCCCACTTTTTTTTTTAATGATGAATTTTACAAATATCCAGTGAAAGCCCACATTACAGTTTTTATATTCAAACAAAATGACATGCATCAGTACCCTATCATAAGAGACTTTGACTTAAAATGGTCAATAATAAAATAATTGCATTTTTATCAAACTTAAACACATTCAAGGTCGTATGTATATCATTATGTTATTTCCTTGCATTAACTGAAGAAAGTCAGTCCAGGCGTATCTGAAAAATTGATGACGGTTGGATGGGTTTAATCCAAAACTAGGACTGAGAATAAACCATTGTACACCTAACTACTGTAAAACATGTTGAAAAAGCAACATACTATTTTAGAGAATTGTGGTAAAATGACGTAATAGCGAAATGTTGATTTAGCGAATCTCTCTTGTCATTGTTGATTTCCTGTTTTTCACAATACTTGTTTGTCGCGTGCCAAAACAATTATCAGTTATCACCTCCATAAAAACAAAGAAAAACTGTCAAGTGTAATAAGGAAGCGCTCCAGATTATTACATTTTCTGTGTTGTTTACAAAGTGTGTGTGTGGAGAAAAAGATGTTGTTCGGCCACTATTTTGAATTTATAATGGAGTCATTAGCGACATCTTAAATTAGCGAATTAGTTCTCTCGCTAAATTCGCTAAAAAGACATGCTTGCGAAAAAGACATGTTTTACAGCTTTACCAACTTTTACAAGGTCATGTCTACGGTTTATGATAAAACAAGATTAAATACACAAATATCAAATCAAAGAATAGCATACAGATAGAGAAGGAATGCTGTGTGATGAGATGTATCAATAGCATCATGTACTCACCGTAATAGATTTGGCGAGAAATTCTTTATGTAGCGTGCAATCTCTGACAATGGCTGATGTATAGTTATCTAAGGTTTGACACAACTTAATATACTGCATAGGCACTGGGAATTCAGGGTCACAGTATTCTGTAATGTCAAATTATTTAGTATAATGAATACTTATTTAGTGACTCAACTGTATCACTAAATTGGTAATTGGTTTTACTTAACAACTGATTCATTCTACTGATTCAGATTTACTTAACTTGTTCATTGACTCATTTAGTCAATTCACTAGATCACCCACTAATTCATAGTTATTTCACTTGATCAGACTCATTTAATAAGAACCTCACTCAATCCTTCCTTTTCACTCTACTAGATTACCAGTGATTTGTATTTCTTTCATTTAATGATTGATGGAATTTATAGTCACTTCACTACATCACCACTGATTCAATCAATTTGATCATTGCCTCTTTTTGATACTTCACTGGATAATTACCGATTCATTTCATTCGATCACTGACTCATTTATTCAGATCACTAGATCACCCACTGACTCATAGTCATATCACTCAATTGTTGACTTATTTAAGTAACTTTACATAAACACTGACTGACTGACTGACTGACTCATAATAACATCACTAAATCACTGACTCAATTATTCAGATCACTAGATAACCAACTGACTCATATTCATATCACTCAGTTGTTGACTTATTTAAGTAACTTTACATAAACACTGACTGACTGACTGACTCATAATAACATCACTAAATCACTGACTCATTTATTCACACCACTAGATCATCAGATGCATCTTTGACTCAGTCACTTTACTTGATTATTTAATTTAGAAGCTTCTTTAGTCACTTCACTAGACCATGGGTGATTCACGTCATTTGATTAATGACTTACTTTATATTAACTTCACTTGACCACTAGCTGATTCATATTTATTCACTAGAACATTGACTCATTCAGTAACTAGATCACTTTTTCCTTAATTTGATTATCGATACAATTTGTCACCTTATCAAATGGTTTAATATTAACCTTACTAAATCATTGATTAATTTAGTTACTGTCCTATATCACTTATTCACTCAATACAATTATTGACACATTTTGATATATATACTTTGCTTTATTAGATCACTGCCATTGAAGAATACCTTCATTTGATAATTGACTAATTTTGTAACTTCACTAGGTCACCAGTACTGATTCAGTCAATGTAATGATTGAATCATTTCATCACTTGCTCATTGACTAATGTAATCCTTCACTAGAAAATACCAGTCTCATTACTTTACCTTACTGTTCCACTCAATGCATATATACATACATACATACATACATACATACATACATACATACATGAATAGACTATTTCTATTGCATTTGATAATCTGTCAGATAATGTTAAGTAAGTAAGTTAGTCAATGTCATTTGCGACTACAATCTCATTTATGATACTAGTAATAAATTAGCCAAAATCATGTAACTTACAGCAATTATTGCATGAATGACTACCTAACAATTTAACAAACAATTCACTAATCAGTGTGCCACAATACCCTCTATAAATGCAGTACTTACCCTCTAACTGAGCTTTTTGTTCTTCTGAAGGTTTTAGTTTTCCTGAAAAAGAATTATGAATCCATAGCAACGATACAGATTAATTAAAGTAGAAAATATCAGGCATGATAGTGATAGTGTGTACTCACTGTTTAGTGATGACTGTATTGTGTAATCTATGTTCAGTGATGACTGTGTTGTGTGTAATCATTGTTCAGTGATGACTGCGTTCAGTATTGAGTTGCATGCTAATCGTGAAAATATAGAATAGTGAAAAAAAAATGAAAATATCTCACCACATTTGATGTCTGATTTGGCTTGCATATAAAGGAACTTCAATGCAGCATCGTCACATTTCATCAAATTTTTTTTCTCTGCCTGGATGTCAAAACACCATTTCTGTATACTTAGCTCTGAAATGTACAAAATTAATACTCTCAATTCACGGGATACTCTATATTTTAATTTTAATTTTTTTTTCAAACATGTTTAGACAGGTTTCTGAGTAGCTTAAAATCTGTATTAGAAGTTGCATCTCTAATAGAAGTCGCACCCTATTCTTTTTGAACAATTGAGAACAAATATTCACAATTTCCCATATGTGTAGATACTCTAATAGAAGCCGCATCCC